TGGACTTTAGATCCTCATTGTAGCGGATCCCGTCCATCGATTCTGCGGCCTTGGCCAATTGTCGTGCAAGGCGTTGTCGCCGTCTTTGGCGCGCTCTCTTCGACAAAGTTGGAGCAACTTCAGCAGTCGCCTTTGTGGCGGAAGGGAGATCTGGATCTACAGCCTCGACCTCTTTGGATGCCGCCGGGATGTCACGGGGCACGGGTGCAGCAACGGCGATGGGATCTTGGATCTTAGAGCCGAAGGTCCTGCGAACATCTTCGGAAGATGAGGTCTTCCTGCGCCTGTTTGGAGAGGCGGATCTGGAGGAAGAGAGGTACTCTTCAAACTTCTGCTGATCGAACTCATATTCGATCTCTTCATTCACCCGGATCTTGGATGCCGGTTGCGTCACGACAGCCTTAGCAGCGAGGCTGTTGGCTCCCACTGTGGTCGGCAGCTTGTTTTCGTCAAAAGTTGCCTTCATCATTGATTTCATTAAAACTTCAAACGTTACAAATGAATTCAAATAACGAAAATAAAAATTACAACTTTCTTGAAAATAAACACAAGATCCGTTTATCGTCTCTTGCTTGCGTGGGTCTTTAGCCTGTGACGGGAACGTCGATATCCGTGGACTACCTGGCAATCAGATCTGATCCAGAAAAATCGGGCAGAGCTTCGTCGATCCGCGAGGGGATCTAGAAACTTGAAGCGCCTATCTCGGATAAAACGAGATATTTGCTCTTCTTAGGATTACCGACGAGGGGTAATGCTAAGGAACGGATGCGGGTGATGTGGATCTGATGAAGAACTCCCTTGTGTTGAAGTGCTCGACCACTCTTCACTACAGCAGGGCTTCGCCAATTTCTCTCCAAAACTCCAGATCCTCAAAAAGTGAAGCCTAAGGTTCCTATTTATAGGCATGAGGGCACATAGGGCGTTGGGACACCCCTGGGGTGTCTAGGCAAAGCCGAGACACCCCAGGGGTGTCTAACAAGTTTGTTCATTTTGATAGTGCTTACAAAGTTTGGAAATTTATAGAAGCACATCAAGGGGACTTGGAGGCGATCCAACAAGCTTTGGAGGATCTAACTTCAAGTTCATATGGAGCAACATGCACACGGCCACTAGGCGATAGCCCTAGTGAGGTTTGCGAGTTCGAACCCGATAATGATTTATCTAGTGATGAACTTGCTTGTGCTAGTGAAAAATTATTGCATGCCTATAACAAATTGCAAAATGTTTTTAATGATTTAAAAAGCAAGCATGATGTTTTAAAATCCGATCATGAGAAGCTAGTGTCCAAATTTGATGTCATTGAAAATGAAAATACTATTCTTAAAGAAAGCAATGACTTATTAAATTTGGAAAATAAAAATTTGATTTCATCTATTGCTAGCCTATCTCATGCTAAGATTGATGCCATGTTAGAAGTAGAGAACATAAAGAATGATACAGCTTCCTTTATAAATGATTATTTATGTTCTACTTCTAAAAATGCATATATACCTAAAAATGAAGATTTGAATCTTATGAAAAATAGTATTTTATCTTTAGATTCAGCTTTGAAAATATGCATTAATAACCATAAGAAGCTTATGGACATGTGTGCCAAGACTAAATCAAAATCATCCACTCATTATGAACACATGTATAGCAAAACTTATAAGTGTTCTATTTGCGGCCGTCAAGGTCATTTAGCTAAGTTTTGTTATGATGTACAAAAACATAAGAATATTAATCATTCTTGTGCATCTCATGTAGCTTCTTCATCACATGTACATGCACATGCACACTCTCATAAAGTTCATCATATGCATGCTCATGTGTATTCATGTGATCTTTGTGGTTATTTTGGTCATTTGGCCAAATATTGTTTTGATTTAAAAAAAAAATCTTATTTGCCAAATGTTTCTAGTAGGTCACATGTTTTTAGATGTGATGTTTGTGGTAGATATGGCCACTTAGGAAAGTTTTGTTTTGATAATGTTTCACATTTGCAAAATAATCTTAAAGGAAAATCTTTATTTGCAAATGATTCACGTGCACGAGCTAATGGTCCACAAAAACAAATGGATCTCTTTCATTGCACAAATTACAATCGGAAGGGTCATTTGAGCGATTATTGCTTTGACCGTGTTAGTGCACCACATATGCCTAAGAGGGTTCATAACCCTAGGGCTTTGAGCTTAAATGATAGGGGTCATGTCCCTAAATCTTTTGGTACCAAGAGTTCTTGGGTACCAAAACAAATTTGATTTTCAAACTAAGAATTTTAATATTTTTATCCTTCTTTGTCTTGGTTTTGAAAATTATGCTTTAAAACTAAGAATTTTAATACTTTGGACGGGAGGGGCATAAGAGAGGGAAGGAAGGAGGTGAAGGACGATGGGAGGGGAAGAATGGAGGCAAGGGAGAAGGTAGAGGAGGACGAGGAGGGAAGGAGGAGGTGAACATATGGGAGTTTATGGAATTTGGGCAAAAGTTAAGATGATATTGCAAAATGTGTGATATTGCATTTTAGATTTTTTTGAGCCGAATAGCGAAAAATATGTGATATTGCAAATATGTAAGCACGTATATGTGGTTTAAGATGATTTTCACGTATAAACCCTAAATGAATTTTTTTTATAGATTTTCTAATGTTATGATATGCACTTGATTTAGAGTTTATTATTCTAAGGTAGCATTACTTTTTCGGTCAGTCCATTTTGGTTCAGTGACTTAGACTTTACATAAGCCAAAAAGTCTATTTTGGTGCAAAAGAAAGATACACATCAAGAAATCGGTGAAAGAAAATATGAAATAAAGAATCATCGACAAACAAACGAGGCAAGTTTATTAGTGCAATAAACAAATTAAGGTAAAAAAAAAAGAAAGAAATTTGTACGCTAATGAAAAGAAAGAAAAAACGTACTTAGATAATCGACAGAGCGGTCTGCTAGATTTGTTCAAGTTAAACTTTTGTGAAACCAAATTGATCGAAACATTATCCAAAACTGAATTAAACCGTCAAAATTCAGTTGCTTCGATCGGTTTGCATCGATTAATGCTCCCATTAATTTAAAGTCTTCATTATCTTTGTAATGCTCACCTCTAATTTAAAGTCTTCATTATCTTTGATAAATAGTTAGGTGCATTTAAAAAAAAATTTGTAACAACGTACGCAACTGCAGCTAAATCAAATTTAATCATTAGTATTTGGCATGAAAGTGACTGTTTGTATAAGACGAATATGGAGTTGGACTTCAAATGAGACGGCCCAAATCCAGCCTGTTAGAGTGTAGCGCCTAAGCAGCGCGATAGCGGGTGCTTTATTATCTGCACGATTCGCTATAAAGGCGAGAAATCGGGTGCTTAGACGGCCGCCTTAGGATTTGGAGGCCTGAACATTATCTTGTTACTGAGCAGAGTTACGCATCTTTCCTACTGTTCTCGGAGAAAACGAAAGATATCCTGCTAAGAATAAAAGATGGCCTTTTGAAAATTATTAACAAATAAAGAAAACGTGGCCAGGTTTGCACTTGGCATCTTCCTTGGAGCGGATAGCAAAGCGGCCGCTTGAGCGGCTGGGTCACCCGAGCTCAACGCCTTGCGGGGCGGCGTGCAAAGCTCCCGCTTGGGCGATGATTAAGCGTTCGGGCTGTGAACGGGTCTCATTTGGGCCTAGGCCATTGAGGAGTATTTCATCAAATATATCTAACAATTTAGGGTATAGTAATTAGGGGTGTGCAACGGTCGGTTCGGTTCGGTTTTTACTAAAATTTGAACAACCGAACCGAACCGTCTATAATTCAAAACCAAACCGAACTGTTGCAAGTCGGTTCGGTTCGGTTCGGTTTGGTTTTTTCGGTTCTAACTTCATCCAACTTCTTATCAAACAACGAACTGTGTTAAAGAAAAAAAAGATATCAACAAAGTAGGAGATTATAAAGCATTAAACACTGATATAATGATATTATTTTTAACCCATAACGATTCAGAAAATGAGTTTAGGGTTTGAGTCTTTGACTCTTTGGGGACGGGTTGGGTAGGGTTTGATATCAGAATGGATAGTATTGCACTATATTCGGTCGGTTCGGGTCGGTTCGGGTTGAAAAGTTTTCAAACCGACCCGAACCGCCTTACTCATAAAACCGATTTTTTCGGGTCGGTTCGGGTCGGTTCGGTCGGTTTTTTCGGTTTGGACCGAACCATGCTCAGCCCTAATAGTAATCCCCTTGGTCGGTTATCACCAAATAATAATAATAATAATATATCATACTCTTCACATAAAAGCCTCTTCGCTCACCTGCTTCTTTCGACCTGCTTCTCTAACTTTGAATGGGGCCCACAAGTCTTGGATCACGTGCTTCTTTCGACCATGTTCTCCTACTTGAATGGGGGGCCCACATGAGCATCCGCAAACGCTCCCAGTTGAGATGGCATCATACTCTGATTATAGGATCAAAATTAAAAATCATACATCATAAATTGGACATTAAGATAGCCCAGTTGGCAGGAAGCCCACGTTCACTTGTGGTCTGGAGTCCCCCCCCCTCCTCCTCCTTTTTCACCTCACTTAAACTCAGCTTCACATATTTAGCCTCAAGTAAAGATAGATATTACATATTAGTCCCTAAATCTACAGGTAACTTCATATGAGTTCCCTAAATCTTTGAAATTGCTCATTAATCCCTCAATGACCAAAACACCTTATTTCACTTTAATATCGGCTAAAATACCAAATTGGTATATTTATACGAACGCTTTTTTCAGTTTGGTATTTTTAAAAACTCTGGCGACAACAATGCATTAATTCTTATCCTTTTTGTCAATAAGACCATTTTCTCAAAACTCCAACGAGAAATTTTGTTTTAAACCCCTTACCTCCCAAAATTATTACAAGTTAAACCCACAATTATCAAAAAAATTCATCCCCTCCCTCTCCCCCAAATTCATCCCCTCCCTCTCCCCCTCCTCTTCCTCATCGTCGTCGTCAATGTCCTCCTATAGGTTCTTGCCGATGGTCGAATTGGATGAGGTATTCGCAGGATTTTCACCCAGATTATATTGTGGTCGTGGGGAGTTCGGGGATTGGGACGGCGTATCATGCTGTTCTTCGTGATGGGTCGGCGTTGACGGTGAAGAGGCTTTATGTTTGTCTGTTGTTGGAGAAACAGTTTAGGGCTGAGATGGGGAGGATAGGGCAGATTAGGCATCCAAATTTGGTTCCTTTGCTTGGCTATTGTGTTGTTGAAGAAGAGAAGCTTTTGATTTACAAGCATATGGCGAATGGAGCTCTTTCGTTGATGATTAGGGATGGGGGTCAGGGTTTGGACCGACCGACGAGGTTGAGGATTAGGGATGAGGGTTCGTGAGGGCTGGTTCGGCTTCTCCATGGGTTTCAAGTTCCTTTCTTGCATCAAAATGTTAGCTCAAGTTGTGCTTCTTAATGAAGAGTATGAGTCCAGAGTCATAGATTTTAGTCTGGCCAGGCTAATGAGGCCTTGGACCTCCGATGAGGGTTTGAACACCACTCCATTCTTGAATGGGGATTTTAGGGAGTTTGAATATATTGCACCAGAATATGCAACCAATCTGGTGCCAAGCACAAAAGGAGATGTTTATGGATTTATGGTTGTTTTACTTGAGCTTACAACCGGATAGAAGGCTACTGAGGTGAGTTGTGATGGGTCGGCGTATCAACTCGTTGTTACTGGTAAAATTCATGAAGCTATCTGTTTGCGTCAAAAGTTGGTTTTGTCATGGAATTCATTATATCTTCAGTCGATTACAATAAATTCAAAAAGAGATAGCCTTTTTATAAGACTTCTTTTACACAACAAAAAGAAAATTACAACTCTTGGGAAACAAACGCAGGATCGTTGTTTGGATCACTGCTTGCGTGAGATCTTTGCCTGTGCCGGGAGCGCTTTGACTCGTGGACCACCAAATCACAGATTCTGATTGAATCGTGAGGGGTTTGATGATTCTTCCTTCGTTTATCGAAGTGAGAATTTGAAACGATATCTTATCGAAGTAAGATAGTCGTTCTTCTTAAGATCAAGTCAAAGCTCGAATCTCAAGGAATCGCCAGAAGCTCAAGAACTCTGCTCTCTCTCTGCTCTAGATTGCTCTGAATGATCAGCCTCCTCAAAAAATGGCCTTCGGGGGGTATTTATAGCCCCTATGAACAGTTGGCGGAAAACAGTCTCGCGAGACAGCATTTTCTGTCTCGCCAGCGAGACAGTAAAGACTGTCTCGCGTGGGCGAGACAGTAAAAGTCTGTCTCGCCCTGCGAGACAGTAAAGACTATCTCGCACGGCGAGACAGTCAAGTCTGTCTCGCGTGCGAGACAGTAAAGACTGTCTCGCGTGCGAGACAGTCTATACTTGTGTTCTTTTTGACATTTTGGATGACTTCCTTTTGAGCTGTGTTTGGATATCTCTCAGCATTTTTTGACGCCTACAGATACCCCCTCCAAAGTATTCCAGACTCAATCTTTTATAGAGGAGTTCTGGGATGCTTTGGATAAGATAGGTCTTACTTATGATCCTTTCCATGCTTGGTTGGGTAGATCGTATAGAAGAACCTGTAGATGGCTTCAACACTTGATCTCTTTGTCTCTCAGTTTATTCAGTGCTTTGTAGAATAGCTAAGATCCTTTCGGCATAGCGTTCATCGCTTGACCGTCGTCGAGATCTTGAATTGAAGCTGAAATTTGTACTTGTGAATTCAGCTTTGTCATCAAATTAATACCGCATTGTTAATCACTGTATCAGTCTTCATAGGAACACAGTTTATATTCATGTATTTTTTGGAGTTCTTGGGAAATAGTTTAACCTCGTATACCCGTTGGGAGGTAGCCAGGTTATTCTTAAGAATATTTTGAGTAATATTCTCCAGAAACTTCCTGTTGATGGTAGGGAAACAGTTTAGACTCGTGTACCTATTGGAGTACTATGGTCTCTTTTTTGTTGGTAGAGATGAACCCGATGATGGAGAGGAAGAATTTTATATTCTATCTCCTGGTCTCTTGTTTGTTGGTAGAGATAAACCCAATTATGGAGAGGAAGAATTTTATATTCTATCTCCTGGTCTCTTGTTTGTTGGTAGAGATAAACCCAGAATCGGAGAGGGAGAATTTTATATTCTATCTCCTGATGAAAAGGAAACTCACAGTGGAATCTCCAACGATCCTAACTGTTTAAAGGTTTGATCGTTCAATTTGTGGACCTCTCGTTCATGGAAGGAATCGAGAGGGGATTTTAGCTTTGGTCCTAACTGTTTAAATGTTTGACCAAGATGGAATTTGAGACGATCCTAACTGTTTAAAGGTTTGATCGTTCAATTTGTGGACCTCTCGTTCATGGAACGAATCGAGAGGGGATTTTGGCTTTGGTCCTAACTGTTTAAAGGTTTGACCAAAAGGGAATTTGAGACGATCCTAACTGTTTAAAGGTTTGATCGTTCAATTTGTGGACCTCTCGTTCATGGAACGAATCGAGAGGGGATTTTGGCTTTGGTCCTAACTGTTTAAATATTTGACCAACAGGGAATTTGAGACGATCCTAACTGTTTAAAGGTTTGATCGTTCAATTTGTGGACCTCTCATTCATGGAACGAATCGAGAGGGGATTTTGGCTTTGGTCCTAACTGTTTAAAGGTTTGACCAACAGGGAATTTGAGACGATCCTAACTGTTTTAAAGGTTTGATCGTTCAATTTGTGGACCTCTCGTTCATGGAACGAATCGAGAGGGGATTTTGGCTTTGGTCCTAACTGTTTAAAGGTTTGACCAAAGGAGGGTTTGAGACGGAAGATTGATCCAACGAAATGATCGAATCTCATCTCAGCAAAAGAATATTCGGAAATCACCGTGGGGATGTAGTGTTTAACACTTTGTTTGTAATGATCGGGTTATTCCTAAGAAAATTACATATAACATTCTTTCGGGAACTTCCGTTACATGAACCATCCACCCCCAGCTTTTTCTTGCGAAACTGAGTTTATCATTATGTTTAGCTATATGATCGGGTTATCCTTAAAAGTACCATGCATAGCATTCTCCAGGAACTTCCCGTGAAAGAAAGGAAATAGTTTAGACTCATATACCTGTTGGAGTATTAAGGAGCAGTTTATACTCGTATACTTTTCGGAGTGAGATGGAGAAGCAGTTTATACTCGTATACTCATCGGAGTAAGGGAAAACAGTTTATACTCGTGTACCCAATGGAGTAATATGGTCGTCTTTACTCTACCTCTTTCGCCGTTATGACGCCGGAGTCAATTAATGCTTGGATCTTATTTTTGAGTCCAAAGCAAATATTGGTGGGATGAAGGACCCTTCTGTGGTATGCACAGTAGTTTGGATCTGTAATCATCTTAGCACCCTCCTGATCTTTAATAAGCGGTAGCTCGATTTTGTCATTGGCGAGGAGGTATTCCAAGATGGCTGGAGCTTCATCATCTTCGAAAGAATATTCCTTTTGAAACCTCGGATCAAGAGTCACATTCTCAACGATTGCAGATGTCATTGGTCTCAACTTTCTTTCTTTTAAGAAAGTTTTCAGCTTGTTCACCACGTAGTTTTAACTATTTCCAAGTGGTGGATGGTACGACCCCCAGAGCTTCCAGGACATCGATGGAGAGGTTATTGTGGTATGTTTGCAGGATGAACTCCTCTGTAATAGGATCTCTGCAATTCATTGCTTTGCCACGGAAGCGCTTGACAAAATCATCAACTGGCTCTCCGTCTTTTTGCTTCTCATCTAAAAAGGTTTCGACTGACACTTCGGTATCATCATCGAAGAAGTTACTGAGGAACAAACTTTCTATGTCATCCCGACAATTGATGCTTCCTAGCCTGAGCCGTCGGTACCAATCGAAGGCGGGCCCACGAAGGGTGCCAACGAATGACCGGACCATTAAAGCCTCATTTCCAGAGATCATGCCCAAATGAGACTTGAAATAAATCAAGTGCTGAATCGGCGAACTCGACTGACTCTCCGTCTTTTTGCTTCTCATCCAAAAGGATTCCGATTGACACTTCGGTGTCATCATCGAAGAAGTTGCTGAGGAACAAACTTTCCATGTCATCCCAGCAATTGATGCTCCCTGGCTTGAGCCGTCGGTACCAATCGAAGGCGGGCCCACGAAGGGTGCCAACGAATGACCGGATCATTAAGGCCTCGTTTCCAGAGATTATGCCCAAATGAGACTTGAAATAAATCAAGTGTTGAATCGGCGAACTCTTCCCTTCAAACGGTGTGAAGTTAATCAGATTGAATTTGGTCGGGTATGGTATTGAATCCCATTCCCTCGGATAAGGACATGGAATACCCGTCTTCTTAACTTCTTGAGCCGTCATCAAAGCATTGATTTTGTCTTCAAGTTTTTGCATTTTCCCGTCATCGTCTTCATTTCTTTCTGAATGATGTCGAGTAAAGATAATTGGACCACCCCCAGTGAGAGGTGCTATTGAACCACCCCCAATATCGTTATTGGGAGGATCCGTTAAACCACCCCCAGCGTTATTGCCATTGGGAGGTGTATCAGCCATAATGACTTCATCCACCTCTGGATCACTGTCATCTACAACATTCCGAGTGTGGTGGCTGGATTCAAATCGCTGATTGGACTCAGGAGGTTGAGGCTGTTGAGTTAACAGTTCTCTCATTTGTTGGATAGCCAACTTCATTTCTGTCTTCACTTCAGCTCTAATTTCTTCACGTTGTTTGGCTAGAGCTTCCTGAAGTATTTGAGTGAACTGATCAGCAGTGATTGTGAATACTTCTCTGATTTGTCCTGTGCTAGACATTGTATCATCAGAAGCGATTGCAGAATAAGTGTCCGAGAATTCATCCTCCGAGGACATTCCTTCTTGCATTCTCTTGTAGTCTCTGCGTCTGATAGCTCCTAATTGGAGTCGAGACATCCTTTGAGCAATTCTTGGATTGACTTTTCCTTTCGGGGAAAAGTCGGGATTTGAGTCACTTGAATGCTGTTTAGACTTTCTTCTATCAGCTACGTTGATGGTGACTTCAGGGAATTCATCATTTTGGGCAGCTGATTTTCTTTTGCGGAAATGTCTCAGCTTAGGCTTTGATAATGCAGAGACTTTTCGTGGGATGATTTCTCGTTTGAAACAGTCACATTCTGATAATGCTGTTTTGACGAGTCGTGCACAGGAACAACGAGAGTTTATCTCTCGAATAACTCTCTTTCGAAAATTATTCACAACCTCAATTTGATAATACGATTCATTGGTATGATTGCCAAAAAATCGTATCGTCTGTTGGTATGATCTCCCAGGTATGACGATATCATTTGGTGAATGCGTCTTCTTCTGGGGGTATAAAACCTTGTTGGCATTCTCAGGATAATTTATTTTTGTCTTTGAGCGATCCAAGGTTATGTCGGGAGTCGCACGTCTAAAACCACCCCTTTGCGGGTATGGGGAATTAACGGGCTCCGAATGCTGATTTTGCATAAGTCCAGACTTTGGAATCCAAACTTGGCGGAGTTTCGGTGGTTCTTTAGTCACCGTTTCCTTCCTCCTTTCTCGTCTTTGTTGTGAGAGAGCACGGACATGAGCAGCGTTTGCACGACGTTTTTGTATACGTTCTTTGAGGGTCGAGCGAGCCCTCTTGACAAAAGTCCATTCAT